ATTTGCTCACCTACTACATGACGAAGAATTTATCATGTCTTCATATTAGGATTTCATTTTCTAGGCTCAGGTGTTTGTATTATGTGATTCTTCCTTCATTTAACCCTAATATCTCCTCCTTGACAGCCATTCTGCAAAACTCAGAACTGAGAGTTTGACTGTAGCCGGTGTCATTCCCCTATGCCGTTCAGGTTTGGCAACCATGCAACAAAAACAGAATGATGATTCCTTTCCACCCGACTTATCTATTAAGTTATCCTTGAAGACAGCAAGACATGCCAGTGTGAAGGATTGTTAATATACAGAAGTCATAAACTCGAATGGAATGCCATGGTGCCATGAGCTCGTACAGTTGCTACCAATGGATTTTCCCTAAGATGTTTTTTGGGGATTTAGGACGACCGCCGGAGAAGCGAACGCGCAATTACAGTGCGTACCTCCTTTTCTACCAACGTGTGACGTCCAATACGGGTGTTAGTGTCCAACTCGTTGAGACCACCCGTTCACGACGCACATCAGAGTCCTCTGGCAAATTGCGACCGGGCGGTACCCTGAACATACGACGAAACCGGCATAGCTCTCTCAGTGTCGAGAAGATGCACTTGTTTTCCACGTGTATGTCTCCTTAACTCCGTTACATACCCACCTAGGGCGGCTCTTAAATATAGTGTAGAAATCATCTTGTTTACTCCGCTGAGTAGATCCTAACAGTAAACACAAAGCTTTAAGCCCTAATGGGCTACAATGATTTTAGTTAAACAATTCCTATCGCCGAATTACTAACGATTTAAAGGAATATCATAGAATTCCCTCTCAGTCAACTAGTCTTGAGAATGAAAGGGATATAATAAAAACAAACATTTTACAGCACCCCAGGACTTCTTTGAAGAAGAAGAAGAAGAAAGACATATTGCTAAGGGCTACTGGTATGGCCCGGGGGCCATACCGTCCAACAGAGCCGTAGGTGCCTGCGTAAGCAAAAGGAAGGGTTAAATAAATAATCAAAGTATTACATGGTTCCTCGCCCCATTTGAGCGTCGTCCTCGGCGCTTTCCTTGGTGAACTTCCCCATCGACCATCTCAGCATAGTCGGTCATGTGAGAAAACACCCACAAACAAACCGCGCCAGTCATCGAATTTGCGCTTAACTGAGAAGATACTTGACCGCAACATCACTGATCCCTCTTAACGATTCCACTGGTTCTTAAGTTTTGCCTTTTTTGGGAACTGTTTTGGGAGAAGGCCGAATGCGCAGGCCATCTAATATGTCTGTCGCTGGTCGTAAGAACACTGATCCAAAAGTGGTCATTTAATGAAGGGCGGAGTTTGAAATAGCTCCGCGGGGATAAGGTCTCGCGCCTGTTTAATCTGGATTCTGTTCAGCTAAAGGCGAGGTGGAGGATGTACCTCATGTTCACTTAATTGACATCTTAATGTAGGTACCGCAGACAGCTCCATGACGAACTTTAATTGATGGTCCATGGCTGGTATGGCTTTAGGTGATGATAGCATTCCTTTAGAACACGTAAATGGGGTATTTATCGAGGACAAATGTTATTTTCAGCTTTACTGTTGGGAGTCCTCTTAGGTTTGCTCATCTGCAGCATACATCCTTCTCTCGTTACGTCAAAGTTTAGCAGTCGGCAATGAAAATTAGGGTGAATTTGCTTTCCACCTACACCACTGTAGTGCGCAAAGTCTTCCCTGAAGGCAAAAGAAGGAATAATACTAGGGCGGAATATGTACTGTCGACGCACAAAGGGGCTGAGGGACTACTGTTAGCTCGGAGGTCATGCTGTCCAGCGGTAGTACAAAGGTGGCGCTTTAATTGTCCTTGGAACCAAAATAAAGAGTTAAACAAGTAATCAAAGTATTACAATTCGTCACCTCCAGCTGTTGAACTCATTAAACTTAGTAATTTCTTTAAGTGATTTTGGTTAATTCTTTGGGTATAGTCATACTTCCAAAATTGGGTAGTGTTTGAAATCAGGCGGAAGCAATATGCTGATTTTTCCTCCCAGGTGTCGTTATTGAAAATCCGAGCACCCACGAACGATGTGAATTTTTAAATGCTGCCTTTCAGTGGAAGTTTTACTGGTGAAATTGTACTTGCAGTTCCTCCCCACCTTTGGATGAGTAATTTGTTTACATCACACGATAGCTTTGTGAAAGAGAAAACTCGATTGAATCGTGTCCATGTTCATTTCTCTGTGTCCACCCCCTCTGCCCAACGCATAATTAAGAATAATAGAAGGTAAGAGGAGTTACTTTCCCTGGGTTTCTTCACTACTACACTAAGCTTGTCGTAATTTGACCGCACCTTTGATGGGACTGGCTTACTTCGAGTAATGCCTTAGTAGGGCGTTAGCCCTAGCTAACCGTTTTATGCACCTTGTGTTGACATACACATTGGTGATACTGTGCTTGTTTTAACTATTTCTGAATTTCCTGAACCTGTCCGATAGCGTTTATGTGAAATGTCATTTTAGTCATCCCTAAACCTACGATACGCTAGAAGGCCCTGCATTTTGCTATGAGGCCCATATGTTTGACTTTTATACGGTATAATATGTCATTTGTTGAATCGCAACGGTCAAAGGAGAGCATCCCTGTGGGTCTAAATTTTAAATTGTACATTTTGGATTTTGAAATGCATTTTAGCTATAGGTAATTGCAAGTGATTTTTTATTTGGAGTCGGATTAACTCCTAACGTACTGTGCTACAATCAGAACTCTAGAACGTTTTCAAAGTGAGCTCGAATTTCTTGCTTTGTGAATCACATTTCGTGGTATGTGATCAGTTAGAATTGGTCAAATAGTTGCATTTACACGATTTGTTTTTCAAGGCGTACAAATTCCATGCCTGATTTTCAGAAGCATTCTATTAATATCGTGATCCATCACCGATCCACAAGTTCTTATTATTTATTTTAAGTTGACGAAGGACGCCTCCACAAACCCAGGTCCTCAATGGACGAAGCACACAGTCTTGTTTCACGAGGTAGTCGTCGGTCCATTCAGTTCTCTCGTCCTCCCTTCACTGGATCTTCAGCGAGCACAGCCTCCGCCGCTCGTCAACATCGACTCTCTCTGGCTCTCACATCCAGCCTCTTGAGAGTTTCGCCATTGGCCAATACTCACCCCTCTTCCACCTGCCTTGCCGGTCTAAACGCCTCCAGTGGCGGCAGCGGCGTTGGAATTGGCCTTCGTCAAGGCTCCTGGAATGGGAACGGGACAGCACGCGAAGCTTTAGCAGGCGATTCGGCAACAGCATTAGAGCAACCCACATCAAACGACACCGCCGCTAGCTCTCCTGCGGACGAAATGCTCCTCCGCATTAGGCGCCGTAATCTTGCTTTCCTGCGCGATCAGAGTATCTTCTCACCAGACTATGCCAATTTCGTTTATAACCTCGCTCAGGGTGTGCTAGTGAGTGTCTAACCGCACTTACAAATCGTCGTTGGTGGCATATAAATTTAAACATCTGGCTGTCACATATCTGTGTTGCCGGCAAGAACGTGCTAATTTGCCCTGAGACTTAATCGCTTTTTAACATTTATTCTTGGTTAGCCAAATAGTAATTACGAGTAATATTGCTTTTTCACCAACAAAGAATGTAAATACTATTGTGCTGCGTGAGATTGGATGGAAAATTTGTTATCGTAGAATTAAGTAGTGTTTAGGGCTCGTTTTCTGTGAAGGTGGACACAACAGCACTGCAACTGGAGCCGGGCCGTGCAATAATGGGCTGCCAACTGGTGGCGAATTTCCTCTTTACCACCTACCTCCCTCTGCATGCCTCAGTGAAGGTGTCGATCTCACCGGACCTCTGCAAGCGCCTCCTGGGTTTGTGTGCACCTCCGCCGCGAAATGGTAGGGAGGCTCTTCCTCACCACACCTCGGCCTCCGAACAGGCCAGTCTACAGGAGGCCGGCGCCAAACTTGACACCCACTGGATGGAGATGCTTCTCTCTCTTATGACCGCTAATGCTCAAGCTATCTCCTGGTCACTTGGTTTCCTTGTGCGTTCACCAACGAGGCCTATGCTGTAAGTTTACTTTAGATCAGTTGCTTCCAATACAAACTACTTAAGTTATTTTATTAGTCGATCATCATGGCCTTTCAAATGCTTTGGATCTTCATTGTAATGTTTTGTAATTAATTATTACCGGTCGTTAGATGCCAAAAATAGGTTTTTTGCTGTTACAGTAATTACATGCTTGCATGTCCGAAGCCGCTTCTTCGTCATCAAACAGCTCGGCTTGTCGGAGTCGTTTTAAACACCTTCTATGCCTCGAAAGACGCAAGCATTGTAAGTTTTCCCCCATAAAATATCGTGCTGAATGTCACTCCAGCCTGTTGTTTAGTATAAAAAAGGGGTCCCTTTTTCTGCCTGAGACTTCTAGAATTCGGTCTTGAAACACTGGTGGGTGATAGGCGGCAAATAATGTAGGCGAGACGGATACCTCGTGCAAATAAGGAATCACTGGTCAGATAGACTTAGAGGGAAGTCAGCCCTTTGCAGCTGTTTTCTTGACAAGTGAATGCATGGCAAAGTAAAATCTCTGCATCATTCCACTGCTACAACATTTGTTTCCCCTTTTTCAGACCCTGACCTAAAAGACTTCGTACATTGGTGTTGGGTCAGTTGTGAGGTACCTCATTAAAATTCCTTCTAGCACAGTACCATGAATGTGGTACTTTTGCATATTCGAATTGCAGAGGGGGGACCTTACAGCATGTTTTTTACATTTCCCAATTCATATCTCTTTTATTCACTGGGCTTCATTAATACTCACTTGAAGTGATCAATCATTTGTCAAGTGAATGTCAGCACTCCTGTCAAGAATAGCCGATTAATGACATAAAGAATATTACCAGTCACTATTTCTCCCTCTGTTCTATTTTCAACCTTACAGACTCCCATTGCTTAGCTTAGCCTCTCTACACTGCTGTTGGGTCCCTTCTTTAACAGCGGTCGCTAGCGCAACGGAAGGAAGTTTAAACACAATAAAATTTCAACCATGTTCACTTTAATAGGGTTTTGAATTTGACTTCCTTGGAGGAGTTGGTACTTTAGCAGTTTAACTAAGCTACGATTTCAGGCCTTTTGAAATCCCCCATTTTATCAAATCAGGAGATGTCCGCACCCCTTAGCATTACGCAAATTCGAAGGTAGTAATCGTCAAATGTGGATGTCTTGTGGAATTGTTATATTTTCTTTAAAAAAATATGGCTTTTTGTTTAAAGTAGTCGTAAATATACGAGAGAGAATATTATATTATCCATACAAAGGCGATGAAAAGAAGCATTACTACGACGTTCGAGGGTACTTTTCCAACTTTGAAGACCATATCCAAATGTGCCAAGGTGTATACCCGAAGGATTGTTAATGGTGCAAAACCATGATCGTCGGGTTCTAAGTTGGTCACTTAGGTCTGTGATGTAGCAACATTCAAACAGGAGATTATACTGGCAACGAGATAGACTAGCACAATTAGTTGGAATCCTCTCTGGTATACTCACTTGCTCAAATTGCTGCATTGGCTTTAAGGAGATGCCTCTTTAAGTGGTCATTTGGTACTCCTGAGCGGTGTACTTTGATTGTATGTGGATTCTTTCAGGATTTTTATTTCTTTTCTTCTCCGACTTATAGAGGGTCATTCTAAGGACAATTTGCAAGCAATCACATTAACCCAAGGTTGTAATTGCTAAAGTACACGTGGTAGTTTAGAAAACACCGGTGATAGAATCTCGAAACTGAAAGGTTGGGTTTTCTGGGGCATTTTACTTAACTATTCCAGAACTGAGTTACATTTTATTAGAGGTTAAAATCACTGGAAGGCATTTTCTCGCCCCTTGTTCAGGGGAGCATTTTTATCCTAGTAACTGTAGAATTGTTGAAATGAATATTTCTCGGTCTGGAAATGAGCTATTTCAGTAGTGTTTCTGCATTTTTTCATGGTTAGTAATTACTAGACTCCGTCAATTTTTTTTCGGAGGTCCTAGTAAAAAGCTTTTTTCAGTACTTAAAACGCGGGTCTTTTGAACCCGCCTGCGTGTGATAACTACTGGTGGCAAATCTGCAAGCTGGTGGTTAGTTACAAAGGATTGTTTACACTCGCATATTGCACCGATAGCAAAGACAATTTTAGAGGGCAATGACATGACAGATTTAATTCATGGGGCATACAAGTACTGAAATCGTAATCGTAAAATGCGCCGGATGCGGAAATTGGGCCCCTTAGGAAAGCAAAGGATTTGGGCCACATGAAACAACTACATTTCATTTGCGACAATTCTAACGTTGGCATTTCTTTCTCATTCCTCTGGAACACTTGAGCTGCTCTCGCTTCTGCATTTCCATATGCAAGTTCGGTTCCAATTATTTGAATCGTTCAGTAAAATTTACCCCTGATATTTGTGCTGCGGTCCTTATCTTAAAGTCATTGGAATGTCGATGTGACTACGGGCTTTAATTGCTGAAGCTGGGACGTGTAAAGTGGCACCTAAAAGTACTACTTGCATGCCTCTGTGCTCGCCTTATGGCCAAGCGATGAAGTTAGTTTTCACCAGAGGTGTGCTTGAAGAAAAACACGAACCGGCTTTTGGGAGAACACCTTGCTCCCTGAGCCAAAACCCCAGTCAACAGTAACACTTATTTAATTCTCAGTTTATTTGTGAATGTAACATATGTTGTCACCAAAATATCAGTATTTTAGGGGTTTTGTGAGTTTTCCAGATTGTGAGTAAACGAAATGCAATACAGGAACAACAGGAATGAGGAATCGGCATACAGCAGCTATCACAAAAGGTCGTTTTGGCTGTTAAAGAATGAGATTTTCAGGACATTTAAGGGGCACAGAGTAACTTCCATTGTTGTTAAAAAATCACTTTTCCATGAGCCTTTGAAGGCATGGAAACCCTATCGTCTATTTCATCCTTGAAGTCTAGCTGAAATTCTTCTAGTTTCACCATTCCTAACATTGCTGTTCATTATTTCTAGGGGTAAATTTAAAATAGATATTTTATGTGTTTCTAGTTCGAAAAGTTTCTATGTAATAAATCTTAGTGCCTTTTTGGGCACGCTTTCCACCACCCTAACATGTATATGAAGCTTCGGGTTTCTTCATTTGAATCCGGAAGTCACAAATGTGTGACACGCACTCGATCGGTTTATGATAAATGGTTGCACTATATGGTGTCCACGAACAGATTGGCAGAGTCTAAGAAAAATAAAATAGGTGTGGGATGTTGTATGGACGAGGATGTTTGCACTCATATGGTATATTAATGGCATTTGAAGTGGTTGATTTCCTTCGGAGAAACTGGTAATTAATGTGCTGAATGAACGTCTCTCTCCATGCTCAAAGCCTTTTTATTAGATGACAGGTTGTACTATCAAATGAAGCATGCAGCAATTTATTAAGCGTGTGGTCCGTTGACTCCTAATTTTTTCACCCTTCAGCTTGATGCATCGCTCAATAATCTGGTGGATTACTTGCTCGACTTGCTACCACTAGAAGTGCCCCAGTATGCGCAACACTGCGCCCCATACTTTGGCCTTCTGCTGGGTTACGTAGAGACCTGTCCCCGTGCCAGCGTTCATCTGAGTAATCGCAGTGGCACGAGACGTCTGTTGAGTTTCCTCGTGAGGGAAGATGCGGACCGTGAGGAGACCCTATCGATCGATACTGGGGCCCTCTCGCCGCCCCCATCAATGCCTACTCAAAATGTTTGTATCGTTGTGCCTTCCATTGTTACACCTCAGAAAGATGCTGGTTTCCCCACTTGGGTAGGTTCTCGTATTAATACTTAAAATTCCAAGTTTCCTTTCTAAATGGCTATTTGAACGAGCTGAATTGAACAGTGATAAAATTTTGGAATTCCAGCGAACCGAAAAAGGCTATAAATCAATGCAGCAACAGTATTTTTGTCAAGATTTTCGAATTATTGTCAACATTTTTCACTGCATAAAGCTAAGACATTTGTGCACAAGCAAGATGGCGTGTCGATACCGACGTATCAGCCTCAGTACTTGGGATTTTCAAGTTAAAATTGTTTTATAATAGCGTTTTTCAAAACATATTCCAAGGTTTATTGGAGATGTACTTGATTAATTGTCTGTACTCGTCAATTGCGTTTTGTAGTGAGTGTGGAAAGAGTCCTCGGTGCATTTGAGTAACGTAAAATATGAGTAGTGTTGTGTAATCACACGGCCACTGCTTAAGTGAGGCAATAAACAAAAAATAAGGATCACTACTTTTTTTAACACCCTTCTTAATTTTGGCTTACGATCAAATGGAACCGCAACTTCTCGCTATTGTTGTTAAGTTTTGAGTGTACTAACAGTCCTACTTGTGACACACTGCCTTGACATCACTTTGAGGCGATTATTTATCCAAAATGTGGATGGGCTTGAAATATTCTTTCCACTATAGAAGATGTCCAAGATTCTCAGGTGTATCTTTTCTAGCACAAATGCACCAAACTATTTTTGAAAGCTTGGAATTTTGTTGATAAATTGGTTCAATTAGCAGCCTTTTTATCTTTAATAAACGAACCCCTTCACTTTGTTACAGTGTGCGCCTGGATCCAAGTTAGATTTAGGCATTAAATTTGGAACTTTATAATGATTGAAAATTCAGTCGTCACATTTTGGAATGGAGTCTTTGGTCGAATGCTCGTAGCGCCCCGAGACTTCCCTGAGGCCGAAGAAGACATGATACTATGGCAGGATATCTATTATTGAAGTATACAAGGGATGAGGGCCTACTGGTATGTCTGGAGGCCATGCCGCCCAGCAGAAATACAAAAGGGGGGCCTTAAGCGTCCTTAAAGATAAAAGGAGGGGCATGAAATATTACATACCTTATGAATAATCCTATTTCTTCTGATAATTTTATATTTTTATTTAGGTGAACCAATAAATACTGTTTTTTGCACTAAGGGCACTGGATGGTTAAAATATGGGCACTTTGGTGTTCACATTGCTTTTATCACTTTGCTTTGTTGGTGTCCTGCTGGTATGGTCACAGAGTGCGACGAATATACAAGCCAAGCATCAACTGGAGATGCATTCATGTGACTTTAAAAAGAGAAAAAACCCTTTTGATAATGTAAATTAACGCCGTGTTGCAAAAAAGCTCTCGTTGGAATGTGAATATGCCTCATATAAGCAATTCAGTGTGTACTCGTATTTTTTTAAATTGTTATCTGATTTTCACTTCGAAGGTATTTCCACGAACGGTTTAGATGTCACACAAAATAACGAGTCAAGGGGATGTCGTTTTAAATTAGGCAGGAAAGGTGGATTTTTTTACCTCAAAAATGTCAGTTTGGTTGTCTATCCTAAACGAATGAAAACTGGTCTTTTAGTAGGATGTGTTGGTGTTAAATCTGCCTCCATTCGCTACCCTCATGCATAGAACAGGTGGTGATAGATGAAGGCCTTTTGACGGCTCCCTAAATGGTATATAAGTTCACAACAGCCAAACACTTTGACTATGCCACACGTCTTCATTTCCCTTGCATGTTTTAATTCTTGCAGGCGAGCCCATTGCGGAACTGGACGGCCAGTCAGAGCAAGGAGTTGGGCAACTACTACCTCCTACTTGCACATATGCTTCTTCAATCGAATTTTGACCAGTTTCGAAACCACCGTAAGTTCTCCACCTGACGCTGCTTCCATTAACGCTGGTAATTCTTGGGTGAGGACTTTAAAATAGGTTTGGTAGGATTAACTTATAGGCCTAACGACGAAACGACATCTGCATGGACCTTCGTTTCCTTGTTAGATGTGTGCAGTGCGATCTCTGAGAAGAAGATCGGGGTGCTGGTGGAGAACGTGTTAAGCGTTAGTGTCCGGTGCTGCGTTGACTTATTTGTCAGTAGAATTAACGTCGAATTAAGTATTTTTTGGGTTTTATTTCAACATGAAATTAAACTGAATTAAAGGCTTATACAGTAATAGCAAAGATCTCCAGGAGAGATTTCCTAGAATCGACTTTCTGGATTCAACATGAACTTGTAATGATTGGACTTCTAAACGGCGGTTGTAATGTATCTCATTGTAAAGTGCCAAACTTGACAGTATTGGTGGCTGCCCATCATACACACAAGCCTACCATCCCTCTCGCATACAGCTTCGAACCGGGTTCGAAATCATACTCACACCAAAGCTTTGATAAAACTGATTTTTGTATTTACTGCTTTAAACCACTTCTTCTCGTAGTCGGAATAGATTATCCCGAAAATAAGACGCTTTAAACAGCAATTATATGAGTAGTCTGATATGCAACTTTGGCTGAGATCAACCAGATTTCAAACAACTGATTTTCTTCTATTAAATGGGAAAAATTTTACAGGAGACAATCTTGAATTTAACCGTTTTTTCGACAAAATAATGTCCTAAAGCAGTATTTAAGTCTTTACATGTCAGATGATCGCCCAGACATTGCCCTCAACCAAATTCCTCTGAATCCCCACAGAGGAAGATATTGCCTGATGTGACATTTCCGAATACTCTATCTCTCCAATTTGAATAAAGACATTTAAAAGAGGAGTATCATCTCAGTAGGTGTTATTCTGCGTACATGGAGCTCGAGTGAACTTTTCACGCAGATAATTAACGCATGATACAACTTGGTTCTGTTTACTCTAAGACAATTGTTAAGTTGTTCACCTAATTTATCACAATCGAATGAACTGGTCCAGGCCACTTGATTTATGGAAAGTTGTCTACATCAAAGGCCCGCATTCGGTTGAAACCAATAAATGTCGAAACTGTGTTAGACATCTGTTGAGGAACCAAAAGTCATCATACCGGCATATTGAGAAGAGTTAGGCATGACAGAGATTGAAATATTGTGCATTACAACATTCTCTCACTTTAATATTGGATATGTTTACGGGTTCACGGTTAGCATATACAAATTAAATTCCTCAGCATTCTACTAAATTTGCGCTTCATCGCTCTGATTGTATCAGCTCTCTCGCCGACGGTTCCACATCCCTCACGTCTGAGCCTCTTCCCGCGGCCCGAGACGGCGAGATGGCTCGGTTTTTCCAGTCTTTCCATCTCAAGTGACGCCCTCTCCCAGGCCTCCGCTCACGATCTGCCACCACGTCTCCGTTATGTCGGCATGTTCCTCCTAGTCGAAGCGGTAATTCGAACCTACGTGGAGAACCCACACACTCCTCCGCCTCCGCAACGCCAGCACGAGCAGCAGCACCAATCGCATCTGCAGCAGCAGAGCAGTGTTACAGGCAGTGTAGGTGGTGGCAAAGCTGACACAAACCAGACACCCACGCACCGTAACTCGTCGGCCGGCGCGGCAGAAGAGCTGTCACTTCGTGATGCCATGGTCGATGTGCTCATCCATCTCACCCAATCCTGGTGGATACCCTCGGCTGCTTTCATCTCGATGGTGTGTTCCAGTTAACGTAAAAATATCCACTTGAATCTGTTGAATGCATTTCTTGGATAGAGAGCTGTTTTCCTTTCTGTGTTAGAGCTTCGAAGGTCACTCTGCTTGAAGACCTCCTCATTTGACTCAGCTCCTTCTTCATGTTAGCTGTGTTTTTGCATCTAATGGTAACCTTCATATCATTAGGGTACAACGTAAATATCTATTTCATCTTTTTGCTGTGGATAATCATGATTTGGAGGTGATGTTAAAATCACACAAGTACTCTACGTATTTAATTCAGTAAGCCCTAAGATGTCTGTTTCTAGGACTGCTGAGGCTTGTTTCAAGAGGCAGAGTTGATAATGCCTGCTCCTAACTATGCCTGGGTCACCTAAAATCGTAAAATTAATGCAGATCTCACGTTAGATAGCAAAGATATTGTAGACGATTTCTGGGCTTGTGTTTGCAGTATCGTCAACTGTCCTTCAATGCCGAGAGATATTCCCAGCTCTAAAAAGGAAGTGTAAAGCGTGGCTGAATGAACCCGGGCATTAATTTTATCATCAACATACGTTTTGAGAATACTTTTTGAGTGCCTTTAAAGCTGTCACAATCAACCGTCTCAACCAGTTTCATTCTTCCAATTGAGAGATCGGAGGGGCTACTTTTCTCACTTACCGTTTTCCGTCTGTTGCTTTTACTGCAGTGATTTAACGTACCTCTATGTGACGGTGCGTAACTTTATACGACTGTAAATAATGGTGTCCCCTAAACATCCACCTAGCAGTTGTAGAGCTTGGTATAAAGTACATCCCACCAATCACACCATCATTCAAAAACTAACTTTGCCCTACAAATGGTTGTACTTCTACACCGCTTTATGCTAAGAGAGGATACAATTTGCATAACCTTTTAATTATTTTCTCAACTGCAACAGCGGAAAACTCGGAGTTAGGCAGCATGCTATAATGTACCGTGTAGATAAAGTTACAGAAAAATAATGCTTGAGTTTTGAATTCTGGTGCTGGGACGCAATAAAGCAGTAGGGTCTTTATTAATGTGAACTTAATCAGATGTTTCTCATCGGGACCAGGAGAAAGCAAATCTCAGTTCCTAATTGTCATTTATCTTTTCGAGACTCGAAAAACACTTTATTCATATGCATGAATTGTTTCAACTCTTGGGCAAGTCGTACCGCCTAGTAGGTGTAGATGTTTGTGTTGAGGAAGTTTCGTGAACAAGTATCTCAATTTTTCGAACTGCCATTATTCACTATTTAGCACTTTGGATGGTGCTGAAGATATCCGAAAGTGGTAGCTACATCAGATTTGAAAAGTTTGTACTGTGAAAATCCTTCTTTTAATTATCCGGTCAGGTTATCTGAGACTGCCTCAAGTGGGCCGGCCAAAGGACGATCCCCTTAGAATCGGCATCAGGCCAGATTAAAAAGTGGCCGTTTTTCGAGAATGGGACTGTATCACAATGTATCTCATTTTGCATGCATGTGAATGAACCTAAAATTCTTCCCTTATGATTCTTTAATGTCAAATCCTTGTGATTCCGGAACACGTATCTGAATGTTTGGAATGTCTATTGTCATGGTTTTTTCCCCACAAGTACTATTACGCATACCTCACAGCGGAAAGTTTAGAATGATTCCTCTCTACAATCTCTAAGACAAACCTCACCTTGTGGCAGCAAGATCTGTTTTCCTTAAGCTTGAGATAAACTTATTGTTCCATAAAACTCCACTAGAATTTCAAATGCATAGTATTAAGCATAAATGTTTTTGGGGACTTAATAAACATTTGCGTATTTTTAAAACAATGCATACTTAAATCTGACTATACTAAGTAGGTGAACATTTTAGAAGTCATCTGTTTGGGATAGTTTTCTGCGTTAACCGGGGTGTACGACTAGCACTGCTGTCTTTTCAGCTTCTATCGCTGATAGTTACGCGGCCGCTGGTAGAAATACGGCACTACTTTGACCTCACTAAACAACTCCTGCGTGTGAAGGACGAGTTGCAGTCGTTGCGAGTGCTCGCGGTGCTCTGCGGTCTCCAAGGGCCCGCATGGTGTCTGCGACCAAATTTTCATTCCAGCAGGACGGAAAGCGAGACTATATTTGGGGACATTGCTACTGAGACTACCGACGGCTGTGAAGGTGTCGATGGTTCCAACGCCGAACAGGAGTCTTCGCGCTATCCGTCACCCCCGGATTTCACGCATCCTGGTCTTTTGAGTAGGCCTTTCACGGATGTTAATAATTGAGATGGGCTTCTTATGAGTTCTCTGGATCTAGACTGGCTATTTGATCTCAATAAATTATGAGAGAAATACAGAGTGGATTTCTCATCAAACAATGCTTTTAGATCAACTTCGTACATATTCCTTAAATGACTTGTTAGATGAGGTTATATCGTAAAACTGACAAGGTACCAAGTGTAAATTGCTCTAATTCATGGGTTTTTATTTTGTCTGAGACTAGCCTAAAAATAGCTTGGCTGCAATTACGGGTGGAATTCTGGTAATTGGGCAATTAGTCGTCCTTGTTCATCCGTTCGTCTGTCTGTCCACCGGTGCTTGGGGGATGCTTCTTGAACATCTCGAGAATGCTAAGCATTAAATCCTACTAGTCTACTCCACTTTTATCAATTTGATCAGTTCGTTTAAGGTCTCGCTATGAAAAGAATTGTAATGCGTAGTTTCCGTTTATGTGAATGAATGGGTTGGAAATTGTCCAGAGCAGGATATGAAAACCTGCTGTTTATTTGACTGGAATCGCCTACATTGAAAGTTACTTGTTCTATTCTGCACACCAATTCATCCTTCCTCGTTAGCATTTCCATAGTCTGTTTTCGTATTTTTGAGGGTGTATTTACAGATGTGTTTCTTTGTGATCATTATGTACCTTTGTTTTGTTAAGAGGCATCACAGAACCAGCCAATCAGCTGCCCTATAAATTGCGAAATAAATATTTACTCGAAATCACTGTTTCTTAGTTGACCTCATTACAACGGCTAATGCTGTCAAATTAACCTTAAGAATTATATGGATGGTGGTTTATGGTACCAACTCTACGAGTGAATTTTCCCCCTAGAATTAACCTAACTCAGGTGAATTTTATCAAGCAAATATATATATCGTATCAACAACGTTTATGTCATCTATCCCTGTAAATAATCCCAATTTTCATTCGAACGCTCTTGGGCTGGCTCATAGTTGGGAGAAATTCTGCGCAGTAGTTTTAGTAATGAAGCTCTCTGAGACCTCCCTGAAGACGAAAGAAGACATATTACTTGGGCAGTGTGTATTATCAACCTTCATAAGGACTTGGGTCCACTGACCTGTTCCTGGAGCCAGGCCGCCTGAAGAAGGTACGATAGCGGAGCCCCTAAGTGGCCCGTTACTAAAATCGAGAGCAAAACAATCATGAGTATTACAGTAACATAACTCGGTGTTTCAAGATGTAAAGTGCTCTCAAACAACCTGATGGGATCCCTCCTTTCCTTACTTCGTCCCAGGCAGCCACATTTAACCATAATCAAAGGTCATTCTCGAAGTTCCATGCTAGATATAACTTATATTCGAGTAAACATTAAATCAATCATGAAAGTTCTGGCGATTGTTCAAAACTCAACGCTTTGCCATTGAAATGTGTTTTAGGCACAATGTAAAAGAAACTGTTTGTTCGTAGTACCATCGCACCAGCGAAAAGAGAATGAGCTCAAGAATCAGTAGTTTCATTATTGTTATAGTCGGTTTAGTAAACCATATCCCACCGATTTAAAAGTAACCAATGAGGAAAAAATCCCTTACTTTTGTCTATCCTATCCCCGAGCCCGGAAACTAGGACGAAGTTGTATTTTTACCTCAATCTGTCCCTCATCGCATAGCCCCTCAGCTAATAGTCCTGTAATATCTTTGTTGCGTTGGCAGTCCTCCTCACCAGTGGGAGTGGCAATGAAAGCGGTAGCGGCCTAGACTCGCGCCGCACCTACCAATGTATGAAGTTTCTAGTGGAGCTGGCGACGGAGAACAGTGCAGTGATTGAGGGTCTCTCACGCTTCCCACAGCTCTGGGGTCCCGCAGTTGAATGGCTGCAGTCTCTACTCGAGGCCTCTGATGCTGCTGCCACCGCTGCTACCGCCTCCTTTAGCCGTACCGCTCCCCTAGTGCGACACACTGACCTCCTTGATACCACCAGCCCCACCGCTGCTGGGCGATTTTGCTCCGGGACTTTTAGTGGAGCCACTACCTCCGGGCGTACGTTTACATTTGATTTACACTTGATTCTAACCTATTCCCTTCCGTTAGATGCTCAATTTCGAAAACTCTTGGAAAATGTATCTGCAGCTCTTAAATTAAGATGCTGGATTTTCGATGTGCAGTGAAAAGATCTGCATGTGGCTGTCAATCATATGGCTGCATCAGCCGCCATCACTTCCACTGTGTGTGTTCTTACTTGCTCTCCATCTTATTCGTGCAAATGGATGCTCATTGGTACTGCAAGACGTGCCGTATTGGTGGAAAATTATCCTTTTTAAGCCCTATCTTCCCTTTCTTCGAAGCCTGTTGATCTTAGCAACATAGCACAAGCTTCCATCTGTTGTGGGTTTGACTCGATCAACTTAGGAATTGTTAAATTATTGTCGCCTCTATGGTTCTTGTTGACTCAGCGTATTTCTATTAGCTGTGGGAGTCCTCTACCACCACCTCTATCATTAAAAATATAAACATTTAATCTTATGGCACCAGAGATTTTAGAGATACTGAAGCCAACATGAACTGTTTAGCATCGGATAAGCCTTTACTACTGCTTTGTTATAGCACTGCAAAACTACTTTCGGTTGCTATTCACTTCATTTAGTAATAGTTTCGTTGTTATTCATTTTGTTTCCAAAATCAGTGTCCGATCTTGATTATTTACAGATGATAGCCAGGCCAAAACAGCTTTTGGATAGCACTTATTTATGATATATTGATACTTGTCCTATAACACGATCCCTTCCACTATCACGTAGGCGAATGTTTTTCCCGAGGTCACTACGAAAAGTACTTTGGGCCATTATTCAAACACAAAGTTCAAAAACAATTGTGATGAAGTACGAAATGCTATTAAATTCGCCCATGAGGTTCAACTGAAGATATCTTACATAATAATTCTACCAACGTATCATTCATTTTGAGGTCTGGAAGTCGTTATTTAAAAGGGTTTATTGTATGCTTGAATAGGTCCAGTTCTCCTAATCCGTCTTCATAGAAGTTATTTCGAGCATCAACCCTTCTCACTAAGCTTGATAGTATCAAACTGCGTTTCAGTAAAGCTGGAGCAAATAAACGTGCCCTATTCTAACAGTATCCCATGCTACAATATAGTTATCCGAAAAAGTAATGTGGTTTACGATTTTGCTTAGAAGTAGTACTTAAGTAGCATTTTATTTACTCGATGCTTAATTCAAACTGATAGACTGAATGAATTTTTTTATTGCCACTTCTGTACTAGGGCGAAAAATTAAACAGATTTGGTAATATAAGTCTATTTTTTGGTTGGATTTTTAAAGGCTAGTGCGATTTTAATAAGCATGCCGAAGCTTCCATCATACACAGCACAAAGAAGTTATCAGTACCCGTTACAACTGTGTTGCTGCTCTTCTTCTCAGTAGCATCTTCAAGACATCCCCGGTGATTTGTTTTCACTTTGACATCGCATTGTGCAGGACCAACCGCTCTCTGTACTGAGATTGAAGGGTTTACCGTAGGTAAATTCATTGCTCGGCGGTTTACATCAGCTGCTACTGGAAACTCTTCACTGCACCTGTCCGCGCGGCCTCTTACATGGACTCTGATATCATCAACTGTAAAATGCGCTTTTCGGTACTATTTTGGCCCTAAAATCGCCTGTACTTTTGTTTTTTTTTAGAGACAAGCAAGCCGATTAAGAAGTCCAGCAGTCATGAGGATGATTCTTGGGCTCTAAAGAGAACATCCTCTGCACAGGTTTGTTCTAAGAATCGCGCTCACACATCAGTTGTATTTTGTTACAAGGATTCAACTAATATCTGTTTTTTATAACTAAAATGAATCATGATTCGATCTGTAGAAAAACATACCGTTTGTCAGGCTTAACGAAGCTGTTTTTCGAAAAACATAAGTTGGTGTTTTCGTTAAAGAACCTTGCCATGAATTAGGATAGCATCACTTTAAAGACAATCCAGAAAATCAATCCAACTTTCGGTTATTTTGACTGTATAGACTTGTTTAAAGCCCTTTCTGAACAAGCTGTGCAAATGACTTATCATGTTAATTTCAAACTGCCTGTTTTATTCGGTGGAATGCAATCGGACGATCACTGATACGTTCCTTTGAGATATTGCTCTATCCATTACCATCTACTTAGCATGAGAACCTAAAACGCATCTTTGAGTGTAAAATTTTAGAGCACTTTGACAGAGGCCGCGAGAATGCTTGCAACCATGCCAGGCTATGATATTCGACGACTTCAAACTCACCGGGAAGTAGATCAGGATTCTCCGGAACACGCTTCTCCATCCGCACATCCTGCAACATAGGGTTGGAACGGTCTCCCTTTTGACTCTCTTGTCTTAATTATGCTTTTGTAAAATTCCTCTCCTCCTCTTGAAACACTATCGATGCATCCCTTCCAGAGCCTCATAACACCTATTTTCCTCCTGATTTTATTTTTTTCCGAACTACTCTGTATAGTGGTTCAAAAAAACGACTCATTGGCACTGCGATTGTCTCTTTTATCCGTTGTTTAGTCCAGTGAAACTACTTTAAATTTTTACTTAACTGAATGAGACCGGGTGAGACAAAACTCATCGCTGGGATTTCGGCAGTTGACCCGCACCTTTTAGCAACCTCGGTACGGATAGCGTCTGGAATTGTCGGCAGCTGGTGTGTCTAATCAAGACAAATTCATCTTGACTTGCAAGGCCCCTGAGGGCTAGTTTTTACCACTTGCGGCTATTAAAGTAGGCAGGCACAGCGCCGACTGTGGCGGTTGAAATTTCACAGTTTTACCGTGCACTTTTCTTGCATTTACAGTGATGCAGATGTTTTCTAAGTTATATGGCCCAATGGGCATTAACGTTCATGCAAGATCCCAGATGGGGCAATTAAAGAGATTACTGCCTCTTTTCAAGTGTTGAAAACTTTGGCACTAAGGGTCTCAGGAGAAAATCGGCAACCACAGCTCAGGCTTTTAATCGTTCTAGGATGATACCAACTGCTTCTTTTTGCTTCTTTCCCATCGAATTCACTTTTTTAATCAGTGGTTTACGTATGTGCGATGCTAGTGGTGAACGTGGTAGATGAACGAGAAGGGACTCTGATTAGAAACTTTATTCAATCAACCCACTCCACATTGTAGTTAATGATTTCAAGTTAAAATTGATTCAGCTATCGTGTTTGTAATACCTGAGCGACTGGATTGAAAGCTCTTACCCATTGTATTGTAGAGGTTCCACCTTCTGTCGGCAACCTGTCAATGTTTTGACTTTTTTCTGTGGTTAATTTTCATTGGCAGTTGATTAGGCACCCTAAATAATGTGGGCGCCTTTAGACAGTTTACAGAATATGTAGTGAACTTGTCTGCGTGAAAGACCATTCTGTGTGAGGTCAAGAGCAGGGAGAGAACTTTTATGATACGTTAGCCTCTTCCTCTAGTTGTGAGCAATCAAGTTTTGTAACTGGTCATTGAGCTTAGCTATTCTTGTAATGAATAGCTACTCCAAAATTTAAACTAAGTCACCATGTTCTTTGGTTATTTGAAGCCTAAGCGCGACGTTATCTGGATGGGGATTTTGATACCAAATACATTCTGCCTTATCGCTGCTCAAAGAATCGGATCAACCATCTACCCTGGAGGCCTTCAAAAAACGTGTGGGTTAGGCGAGTACAGTCATAAATATTTCCCGGTGGAAAACAATTGTCTACTCAGTATCAACGTTAACAGCAGATGAATGCTCTACCTCTTGAATATATGGAGCTCTGAAAGTGCACTTTCGCCCTCAACTAACTATCCTCCACGATGGTCGGCTAGCGATCATCCAAGGTGTTAATGGTTGATTTATGCGATGTAAGATGCACTTGTGTTTTGTGTATCGCTACAACCTATCCTTGTGATGCTTCACCTCATTACGACAAAATATGAGGCATCAAACTTAAACCGATGATGAATCTCATTTTCACGTGTAGGAATATTTATACCTAAAATATAAGTCAGCATGTGTATACTTAGGTTACCTACAGCAAATTTTATTAGGTACAGCACTTATTTTTACTAGCTTACTTGGGGTTTTATGACAGCCCATATGAAGGTCACGGGAGTCGAAGCCAGTTCCTTTATAAACAGAATGGGAATGAGAGCCGAAGAGGTATTTATTAGGAGTCGACCTAGCCCAGTAAACATTTCGCTATCGGAAAGTTCGGTCAGTACCTGGCAAAGTTCATTATAGTTCAGTGCCAATTTCAGTCAAGCTGAAAATAAACCCCACACATCGTTTTCAACTTCGGCGCATTTGTCAGGTCTTGCTGCTTTAGTACAGTAGAAACATGCCATCGAAGTTACATTGTCTACCTGACTACCATGTATTTAAAAAAGACTTTTACACTTGTCTAAAAACGTTCAACAAATCAAAGGCTTGAAATTTGGGACTGTTTTAATGAGGCCACACTTACGTACTACTTATTTAGTTCTTGATAGCCAAAGGACATCCGAAGCTCCGACAAAAGTTCCAAATTTGCTTCTTTCTGTTTACCTAGTGTGAGGGCGGAAATTCGAGCGTTTGTTAAATGCAATTCTGACGTTGTCAGTTGCTCTTCCAGCGAACTACCATAGGCCAAGTGCTGGCAACAATCTAAGCCCAGGTGGGTAAGACAAATTCGAAAAGCCAAACGAATAATTTTGAATTGCCAACCGAGGTAACACACATGACCAAGGCGCAGTCTTAATGCGATCTTTTGTGCCGACTTTAGTAAAAAGTCAAGCATTTTTCACCGTCGCGGAACCCTCTGACTCACCCAACATGGCGGTGTTCTGGGGCCTGAAATATCCATAAAAACGGTGAATTTACGTGTGCCGAATTTTTGCATCCTTGATGTTTTGATTTATGACCATCGCTTTGTTTAGACGACCAAGTATCCATAGAAAAGGTAAAAATAATTCTTTCGTCTCTTCCCACATGATCTAGGTGTATCCCATCTGCTCGCACTAAACACTCCTAAAAGTTGTCATTGGCAATTTTATTTTAATAAGACTGTCTTATTCCAAGGAAAAAGTGGCATTAATAACTTGATGCGTCCACCTCTGAGTGATTCACCATTTAAATCATATCGTGTATTTAAGTTATCTTCGAGCCGTACTTTGTTCCACCGCCGCCACCTCCTCCCAAGTTTTACGGCGATTAGCTTCTTCAGGTTCGCAACCGAGCTTAACACTGTCCGTAAAGCAGACAAACGTGAATCACATCAGATCAAACCGGTATTTTAAGATATGAGAGTTTAAAAGCCGAGGAAAGTAGTAAGGAGATTAGTAGCGTGGATACAAAGTCCATCTTTTGAAGGTTGCGACATAACGCTTAAGCAGGTTATACCGAAAATCGCACCCACTCCTCCGTCCACCTGATAGTTACACTTGCTGGGAAACTCATCAGAATACTCCGCTTTTAGCAGAAATATTAAAACACCAGAAATAGCCTAGAGTATTACATGTGAGGAGCCCAACTCAAAGTACAAAGCTAGGTTATTAGAGGCCTTTTCAGGTGAAAGATCATCTGCGTAAAATTATATCCTTTATCTATTGAAAGGGTAAAAAGGACGTTTACATGCAATTTTAAAGGGCCTTAATTTATTTATAGGGGGGAGGGGAGGAAACAAATGTCAATCTACGTCGTAAAAGATCTGTGAATCACAGGACTTTTTCTTCCATCAAAAATTTACTTGCTCAACCATTTTTCTAATGAAGTTAAACAGTGGCAAAGGTTAGCGAGGAAAGTCAGGAGAGTGCATTTGGCAACGGCGGTGGTTTGCAACGCTAGAGGAGGCGGACAGTCTTGGCCTCTCGCCCGCAGCGGTATTGTTCAAGGTCGCCTCGCGTATGTGGGTGTGTATACATGGGGGAATCGAGGCCAACCACAGTCACGTCTACACACCTCGTGACAGTTGTTTGGGCTGTGAATCGCCCCAGCCCTCTCCGTTCCCACCGCCTCTGTCTCTATGCTTCCGTGTTTATGTTTGTCCCACCTGTGTAGGTGTTTTGCATACACACTCGTCCAAGATGAAAAAGGTGCCAGTAATGGGGAAGTCAGCTGAAAGCCCCTCAGTGATGCAGTAGGTAAATTCTACTTTTAAATACAGTGGATGAAAGTTAATCCATCTTACATCTAAATGGTTTAGTCCACCTTTAGGGGGTTTCCTTTTCTTCACATTTCTGCTCCAAGCTCCGTACTTGAAAGCTTGTCTGGAATAATGGTAGGATTCTACCTTATAGTGTTAATCCAAAGTCATGAAATGGTTTGTCTTCGGTGGGCCCACCGTACATTTGCTTGCACATTATTTAGTAGTATAACCGCTACATCATTTATTCGACTTTGTGGAAAAGGGGGTTTTTCTTAATTGTGAACCATAGATTTTGTCTTTTCTGATCCCAGTGGGTGGATAGTAAAGTGGACTTTCTTGCATCGCAGAGCATATCATAGACTCTATCTTCGACACATTCGACATTTGCAGAACTTTCCCTTAAATTCTCATTATTGTATTTTATCTCGACTTTTGAGGTTATATTAATGGCAGTGGCAGTTCTGTTGGCCATGTTTTGACTGTATATTTCAATAGAGAAGGCATTTTTTGAGACGATGCGAACACTTGTGCGTAGGATTTCTTCTAGTGATGACGCAATTTTTATCATGCTAGAATTCTCCATCGTTTCAGTGCCGATAAGACTTGAATGCACGGACTAAAAGCTTGTGTCGGGACTTATTAGTTTACCTCGCTCTTAGTCGAGTTTAGTCGATACATCTAGTCCTTCAAGGGAGATTGTGCCTGAAACAGTTGGAGGCGAATGTGGTGTTGCTACGATAGCTGACTCCGTGTACTAAAGAAACCATAGTTTAGATTTGTAAAATTTTTACGGCTTGTGCGCACACCACAAACCGGGGGTGTCATTACATGCAAATTGACTATCATCAGTTCACGCATTCTGGAAAATCGCCTACAGCATCCAGTAAGCCCTCATCTATCCTTCTGTTAATTTTTCGACCCGACATATATCCGCGCTACTCAAGTCTATGTAAAAAATGCTAACTTAACAAGTAATAACTGATCTCTGTTATATTTGCCACTGAGTTGTATCTTTGATAATGTGCCCTTAGTGTTCCACTTTTTGGGCCTATTCCTTCCCCAAATATGGCTGTGAAATTAAACTAAATCGACCCACACACTATCTGTGGTAGTGATCTTGGAAGGATAACATTATTTCCTGTTGTTTCCATTCAAGGTTAATTTCTTGTGTTCGTGATTAGCTTTACTTGACCGTTGACTAACAGGAGCCAATGAAATAAGGCCTGCTCCAAGATTGGTTGACCTGATTGTACGCATGGCCATGCATTGGCGGACGCAGAGCCAATCCATTAGGCTGGGACGGTCCCAGCAGTCACGTAGCAGCTTGGAGCGAAAACAGACGCACCCGACTTAATTTTGCACTTGCGTTGATAAGGGAGATACACCTTCTCAGTCGTTTGGCGGAGATCCTTGCAGAACGCTATGTAGGGCTCGCAAAGTCCATGCTTGACATCTGATTTACGCGTACACTTGTCTGTACGGATCGGAAGGACTCTACTGCGTTCATCCTCTCTTGCTCTTGTTCTCTAGCTCCCATTCTCTCTCAAGCTCCTGTTCACTCATATCATTTTGCCCTCCGCAACCAATCAGTGCAGCTCTTAAATGCTCAAGCCTCAAACCACTGATGATATCGGTATTACCGCCAACAAAATTGACACCTCCGACAGCAATCTGGGTCGGCGTAGGTCACCTTTCATCAATTTTTTCGTTTCCTTCTGGGCGCGGATTAAATTCCTTTTCACAAGTACACTAGGTGATGTCTGTGATTGCTCTGTGTCCTCCAAAAGTAGGCCCTCAAACTGCGACTCCTCCATCAGAGGTGATGAAGATTGTGCTGAGGCTACTTCCAGCCAGTTAAACATATCGCCATCAAATGTCACCGATCAGGAGCCCAGCAAGTGTGTCCTCCTTCATACAATTGCAGAGGAGGGCAGTGATGATCTCAGATGCGAGCAGTCATCGGCTCCTCAATCCTCTGAAGCCGCTGTTTCTCTCTTGCTTAGGGAGTCGTCTCAGCACCTAAGAAACTCCTATGACACGCTTGAAACCTCCGAGTCGATTACGGAGGAGCATTTGGAACCCGTAGAATTCATGGATGAGGGACCTTTCTTGACTGCCGTTACTTTCGCTCACCCTGTCATGATGGCAAGTGTCGCACCGCGGGCTCACTTCTCAAAAGTGATTCAGGTCGCTAAAAAATTGCATGTCTTTGAAGTGCCCCCTATAGTGGAGGAGGAAGTTGGTGTGGAGGACGATTACCTTGCCGAAAGTGTCTGCTCATCTTCAGAAGTCCTAAATGATGCAAAGTGCTCCCGCCCACTCACAATTCTCGGAAGATTGCACACCAAATTCCAAAATGGGGACTTAACTACCGAGGAGTATGATCGATTGGCCACTTCCATAATCACCTCCACTATTCCTAGGAACCTCTCTGACTCCACTGAGACTCGAAAACCCCTCGGAGCAAACCAACTCTACGCATGGCAACTTCCTCCCCCCTTACCTGAACGTGATCCAGCCGAAGAGGCGTTGCCTCATAGCCGGCATGCAGTGATTGATGCACAGAACCCCGGTTTCTTTGTGGATTTGGTGATTTCAGATGCAGTTACGAAAGTATCGCATGGGTCAGGCCGTGACTATACTGAGGAGAAAAGCGTTGTGCCAAGGCCTTCCTCCGTTGATCAGGTTGATAATTGCTTGTTGGCAGTGGAAGATCCTTTCCGTATTAGTTTTTCCCTGCCCTGCGATATCTCCTACGATGGCCTCCAAACAGCCAGTCTGGACAGGATACGCAGCCCCACCGCATCTAGTTGCAATAAAGTCATACGCTCAAAGCGAAGTAGTTCTCTCAAATCCGAACGGTCTCCTGACGACACCCCGTGTCGGAAGATTGTTCGGTTCGCAGACTCTTTGGGTCTTGATTTGGCTACCGTAAGGCAGGTTAAAGATACAGACCATCCACCCTTGATTCCCGCCTCGGCAACTTTTGATCTCAATTTAGATACAGAGAAAAGTTTTAGTTCATTGGGTGCCAAGCAGTTCCAGATATGCTTCCCTCAACCTGGTGCTTCACCCATCTTTATGCACCGAGTTCTCAGTTCCTACGTGTGCCTCGAAAATGCTAGGGTGGATTCCTCCAGGGGTCTGTTGACTGGAACGATCAGAGTCAAGAGTGTGGGCTTTGAAAAGAAGGTCACCGTGCGTATAACCTATGACAACTGGTCTACATTCTTTGAAATACCCGCCTCCTATGTGCAGGACTCACACGACGGTACAACCGATAGATTTTCCTTCTGCGCAGTCTTCCCCTCTTCCATGGTGGCCAATGATCGAGCCCAGTTTGCAATACGATATGAGACACACTCGGGAGGTACGTACTGGGACAATAATCTTGGAGAGAACTACATAATTCATTGCTATGCTAAAGCCACTGATATGGCTGGAGATGGCTCCTGGATTCACTACCTTTGAGGGCTGGAAGCCACACCCCCGACACATGAAATCACAGGTCTCTAGTAGTCTTTCGAAAGTGACTTCAGATGTCCCCCCTCCTTCTCCATGCCCCTTCAACGCTTCCTATTCTTGCCCACTTCGACCATCTTTTCGGTGACCCATCTAAATGTTGGAATTTAATCAAGTACGAGCCAAAAAAGGAACCGAAACGCCAATCTTAGCCTGCTTGCGTCTTCGCTCCCTTCCCCTACCTTCGCCGAATTTCATCACATAAATTTCGATTTCTTCCATTGTGAGATTTGAACACGTTGTCAGAGAGAATACGATCAACATCATGTATTTTGTAAATGAGATCTTAATAAATTTACCTCTACTCTTGTATTAAGATACCAACCGCGCACTCTCTTCTAGCCGTCCTCTGGCTACTTGATGATGGGTGCGTATTGATGCACAACATGGCCGACGTGCTTTCGTGCTGAGAATACCATCTAGCTCTCTAAACAATGGTTAAAAGTAGCGTTGGCTTCCAGTAATTCATAAACTATTATAATCACGGCTAAAGGGGGTAGAATTAACCACAAGAATTCCGTACAGACAAGGCGTTGCCAAACGATCGAGTGGAGGCAATCATTGTTGGGAACTTCGATGTTGTTATCGCTTGGAAATTCGTCTAAAACATGTCGAAGCTATATGTCAGATTCCAGAGCTTCATCCGTAAGTCAGGTAAGTTCCAGAGAAAGGCACATTGTCGACCGTAGGTCACACAAGAAGTAGATTTTAGTGTGCGGTAAATTGAGGCGCATTTCACCTTAGTTTGTTCCTCCTCCCTTGCCTCTCATGTTGATTGATGCTCCAGGTGAGTTTACGGCTATCGTTCCGTAAAATACTGCCCTAAAATATGGAACTACTGAGGTTTGCATAAAAATCTAACATGCATTCGTGGGAGGAATTGTTAAACCTCTTTCCTCGCCCACGTTATTTTGAGGCTCCTTTATGCGCCACTTTAATGAAATTACTAAGTTTAGAGATCGCTTAAAATCCAACAGGGTAGTTTTACACGGGGTGTCTTTATGATCCACCTTTAAAAGGCTCGAGTCCTACCAGTTTTCAACCAATTTAAAGACTACTTTTTATTTAATAAAGCTACGAGTCTATAATTTGCGTAATTCTCGTTGTAGAAGTACATCACTACTGGAGATTAAGGCTACAGAGGGTCTGAGGCATAAAATCTTTGTATGGTTTGTTCACAGTGTACATTTTTATTTGCGTCGTCACGTGATTCTAGCAAATAGGAAGGAAGATTAGACCACTCGAAAAACTAGCGAGATCACATTGGAATCCTAATTCGAATTTGATGCTTCGCTCTTCTGCGATATTATATTTGCGCCATATTACTACCACAGGCGGGCATAATTTTTCGAATGTAAGGCTTTTAAGCAGTAGTAGATAATCCCATGGCTTTTGCCTGCCAGCTCATTAGTTAATTTACTGCTTGATTTCGGAGCAGGATCGTAAATGGGATCATTTTCCCTTATGAAGTTCCATTGGAAATAGAAATTACAAAGATAATGTCAACTGCGGGCATGTTTTAGTGATATTATTCATTTTATGGTGGGTACGTTTTGTCAAAAAGCCTTCAATGAATCAAGTCGTCGATACTCTTGCAATAGTGACTGGGATAAAACGAGAAATTTGGTGCTTTGTTAAACCCATAGGGGGATATTAAAAAGCTTATCTAATACATCATTACAACCGAATCAAAGAAACGCGGTACTGTTTTTGCAGAGTTTGCTTACTTGGAGCAACAGTGGTGCAACTTTTGGCTGTCGAAAGAGAGCCGTGGCCAAATTATGGCACTCACACCCTCAAAAACGCTATCTCTTGGTCTTCCGATATTCTCTGCTGGTCAATCAGTATTTAGTGGTATACACAAAGGTCATAATTCAGT